TGTGAAGAACCAGTTTGCAGCCTATATACTAGTGAGGGCAACTAGTCCATTATTGACCCCAGCCTTTCTAGTCTCTAGCTGTGGATGGATTAACTGGTGGTAACAAGAAGAGTTAAGGGGGAAAAAAATCACATGACTCTCCACTTCTGAAAAAATACAGAGGAACTGAGGCAGGTCAGAAACCTCAGCAACTGCAGGGAGAATTGCCATGGAGCTGCTAATATGCAGGCCTGGGCCATGGATAACCCTCTGTTCTGTCATTTTTAAGAATTATTGGGATTATTACTATTTATTTCAGAGAGGCAATGTTAGGAAGAAAAACAAAAACAGTAACTCAAACTGGGGATGTGCAGGGGTGGCGCTGAGCACACTTTCCCAGAAAAGGAACCAAGACCCGAAGGTCACCGACAGGATATAAGGCTGCCTCACGTGATCCCAAGGTGAAGGACTCAAGCCAAGCACTCGAAATAAAATCTTTCTCAAAGTATAGCATGGAAAATAACAGTTGGTTCTCCTTCACTTTATAATCACACGTAGTAGAGTAGCTACCGCCTAAGGTAAACAGGATACTTTAAAGGAGAAGCCAATATCCGAATTAATAAGGTTGTTTCCACAGCACCAATTCTGATGCTCTTTGCCTCAAATCTTATTATCCCCAAATAACAAGTCTGATGGCTTCATCTAAGATTGGCATCTGTGTAAGTCTATACTGTGACCTATACAGTATGCCTCAGAGAAGAGGATGAGGGTTTAAGTGGGCAGTATTGGCTTGTGGTTCAAAAAAGGGTTCTGTGTACCACCTGGGCCTGTCCTCCCTGGGAAAGTTTGTCCAACCTTTTCCACCAGGGCTCCACCTAGCCCTGCTGAACATGAGAATCCTGGGGCAGAGCTCTGGATTCTCCATGAGGAATAAGCTCTCAAGGCCTCTCATAGAGCTAAAAGAGTGCTGCAGTGAATCCCTCACTGAGAAGATTGGAAGCTTCATAGGAACAGAACAAAACAACAAGGAAAGTCCTAGATCAAGGCTCAGAAAAGCTCTTCAAGTGAAGCATAAGACCGACATCAATGAAACCTGAAACACGTCATTTAGAACCGTTACTAGGGGTGGATATATAGACTTTGGTGTTACAGACTTTATGAATGATTAGCTAAGGTGTCATCATTCCTGCCTGTAAGGAACCTAGCACTTGGAGCAGGCAGACTCGGGCAAGCACTGTCAATGTCACATCAGACTGTAAATCTTCCTGCTCATACCAAAGCACTATGTCCCCAGCTCAATCTTATTCCTCGTGTGTTATCAGTGCACATGACTGTAATGAAAAGTAGGATCCTGAGACTTTGAGGGTCCCTACCGTTGAGCAAGAGTGGATCATCTACTTCTGTACATGTGTTGAAGACCAGGAAACCATGCACTAACGAAAGCTAGTTCCTCCAGTGCCCTCCCAATCTAACCATTCAGCATTTAATGATAGAGGGGTTTAATGCTATAGCACATACCTAGCATACGTTTTTGATTGACTGAGTCTCAATCAATCTCTCTCTCTCTCTCTCTCTCTCTCTCTCTCTCTCTCTCTCAGTATTTAATAACTACAGTGTTTGTGAGGTCATAATTTTATATTGGACAAGAAAGAAGTCAAACATCTATTTTTACAGACTACCCTAAGCATACTCCATACATGCTAATATTTTTATTATACATTATATGTTCCAAAGCCTTCCTACAGGCTTTTTAAAAACTCAAGAAAGACTAAAATTCAAAGCTCACTATTTTTAAAGTATGATATAAGCATGCCTTTTAATAAAGCCAACAGCAATAAAGCTCACCCACAAGTTACTTCAGGGAAAGCAGCCTTCATTGGTTGAAGTGTTCCTAAGATAGAAGAAGGTCTCCATACAGAAGTCTCCATTTTATGTTGTTTCACTGGTTGAAAGGTGACATGTCAACCTCTCTTCAGCCATCACAAGACTATTCAAATTCAAGGTTGACACTCTGTCCTTTACCTTGTTCCAAAATACTGCAGGGGTTATACTGCCCGATGTTACACCATATGGGCAGACTCCAGCTCCAGCAGGCAGGAGTAAGCAAGATGCCTCTGTATCATGCCATTCCTCTGCTTCCTGTTGTTTTTGGAACAACCCTCACTTTAGCTAAACATAACCCTTCTGGGCGATTCATTTTTAGCAAGAGAATCTGCCTCCCGGCAGAGCCTCCTAAATGCTGATTACATTCTGACACTAAGCTAAAGCCTCTCAGAACTCACTCACTCGGCATCTTCTGGTCTTTAAAAATACCCGTCCACTTTGTGAAAAATCAAATAAAACAAAACTCCTAACCACATAAGTTTTGTGACTAAAAAGAAAAACAATTATATAGTGAGCAACTGGAGAAATTCTTCTGAAGGCACTTTGTTTTACCTTCTGTTCTCTTATTAGCTGTTGATGATTAGCAACAGATTTTCAAAATCTCTCTCCATGTTCCAAGTTATTTTTTAACTCTAAATTCACTATTATCTATAGTAATGGGCATGTCTGTTTAAGAGTTAGAGTTCTTATAAACCTCTTGGTTTTTACTACCGGAGTTATTTCTGCCTGACCTAAGAAACATGTATAGGAAATAAGACAATGCCAACTGTTGGAGACTGTTGAGAGGGGTAAGAATACTTGCTGCATAAGCGTGAGTGTTTGGGTTCGAATCCCCAGTGCAAAGTCAGGCTTGGCTGTGCATGTGCCGAAACCCCAACACTTCTGGGGTAGAGATGGAGGAATGCATGGCTTGCAGGCTGCTGGCTGAACTCCAGATCCAGTGAGAGACTCTCAAGGGAACAAGGTGGAGTGACAGAGCAGGACACCTGATGTCCATCTCTGGCTTCTGCACGCACCTACAAAGGTAGATATGTGCACATACTATACACACGCAGAGACACAAGCACACACCGGGGAAAGTGATAAGAATGAAGGAAGGAAGGGAGGGAAGAAGAAAGGAAGGAAGGAAGGAAGGAAGGAAGGAAGGAAGGAAGGAAGGAAGGAAGGAAGGAAGGAAGGAAGGTCCTACCATATCAATGATATCTATCCCTAATTTAATGTCAGTAACTCTTACCAAATGGGATCATGAAGCATATATACAAAGCAAAGCATGGTTATTTAAAAATGTATATAACTTTCTCAATTGTCTGTTCCCTTGGGTAGTCTATAAAGTGAAGAGTTGGCTCCATATAATTCAAAAAAAAAAAATCTATACTTAGCTTAGCGAGGAAAGGATAAATCTCCAGGGTCTCGGATTCCCTTCTTGTTGCCTTCCTTCATTACACGTTTAGAGATAATCAATAAAAGCTGATTTCTCTTTGTAAGCATTTTCCTATTCTGCCAGAAATAATAGCAGTCTCTGCTCCAAAATGAAAAAAAAAATGGAAAGGAATATTTACCATAAGAGGAGAAAAATGAAACTGCCTAAGCATTTTTCCAGAGCCAAGTAAAACAACAGCAAGCCCAGTTTATCCTCAAAGAAAAAAATTCCTCTCCATATTCCCCATGTTAGTTTTGCTCTAAAAATCTGTGACACCAACAAGTTCCTGAGCACTGCATCTACATTTCCATTTTCAATGACAACCTCCTGATGGTTCCTAAAAGTTTTACTATATTTCTGTGTAAATGTATGCGTTAAAGACAGTAATGGCCAGTGGTGAATAGAGAAGCAGGCAGGAGAGATTGCCAGGCACCCAAAGCACCTCCCAGAACAGACAAGGATGTGAGTGCAGTTTATGCCAGATAAGAAAACAAAGGACTGCATGTAAGTCTGAGTCTTGCCTGGAAACACAAAGTTGCTTTGCTGTACCCATTTTCAGCACACTTACTTACAAAGTTTTACAGTAAATAATCTGAAATAAGGCACTGGGTTTTTCTAATCTGTACCAGACACCACAAACATGGTCATTTTTAAAGGCCTTTTCTTCTTCTGGATTCTTCACCAATGACTGTAAGAAAATGTCAAGTGTGAGAATAATAGACTTTTACTTTGTTATGAAGTTACAAATACAGTTTTACAGGTCTTCCAGGCTTCCTGTTTCCCCTCAGTGTGTACCATCAATAGAGGTTGTCATATTTCACCAGGGCATATTGTAAATCAGACAAGTTCAGCCAGTCAGGTTGAAGGATGGAGGTGAAAAAGCCCAGTGGAAAATATATAAAGAGCAATTAGAACCACATGACCAGAGATATTGAAGCAATACTTTCTGGAAGAGCGCCAAGTGAAAAAAATCCGACCTTGTCTGGTGTTAGTGAGACTAGCCAGTCCATTTGGGACAGCTCACATCATCCTCTAAACACTGTGTTCTGTTCTTTCCCCCACAGAAAGTTACCAGAGACGTTAAGATCTCCCCATAACCAGACTAGAACTGTATTTGTAACACAGTGAAAAACGTAGTTGCCAATATGAAATTATAACTCAGCTGAAACTTACTCTGACATGTAGTGGAAAATTAAACAAGGGTCAATGTTATAACCACCAAGAGTCTTAATGCTTATCGTGATCATGATATTGAACCAAACACCTTTTGCATTTTTCTATGAAATTCTTGCCTCCAAAGACCTCAAGTATCTAGCAAGGCAAAGACAACCCAGGGGTCTACTGTTGAACAAAAACAGCAAGAGGCTATTAAATGCAAACTATCTCCCCAGTACATATATCACAAACAGCCTATACATGCTTGTCTCACATAGATGATACGCAGTAGGTCAAGTGTGTGTGTGTGTGTGTGTGTGTGTGTGTGTGTGTGTGTGTGTGTGTACTAAGGATGAATGGGCATGAAGAACTCTTACAAGTAAAAGAAGTCCAGTAAGAAAAACTTTGACTCTACTCCATCTATTACCATGGCCATTTCAGACCTACTTCTCCTTGCATTCCAAGTGTCAATCACAACTGCATCAGCAGACAAATGAAACGTAATGTTCAACACTGCTTTGAGATTCTACGGAAACAACTCCAGTTTAGCAAAGTCACTTACCTCCCAGAAACTGTATTCCTCCGGCCACTCTTCCTACTGTCCTGGAGATGAGGTCCGACACACAGCAACCCATCAGGGCAGTGAGAGCTACCAGGAGGAGCAGGCCACAGCCCAGCCCTGTCACTATGGTACAGATCCTCCATTCTGCACTGGGGATGCCCTGGAAGGAGGCGTAGCGCCCACATTCCTCCACCATCACCATCATCTGCCGACTCTCATCTTGCACAGGATAGGAGCACCTCCGGAAAGTGCCGAAGGACACAGGCTTGCCCAGCTGAGATCCCCAGAGCCAGTAAGGCATGAAGAACCCCACACAGGAGGTGGCAGCAGACAGGAAGGAGAGCAAAGCCCAGACCACCCCAGTACAAGTCAGGCTGGATGCCATCTTTCACCAGGCAATGCAATGGGGACCCAACGTGGCTGTCCCGAAGGTGTGAATGAAGGTGTCTGGTTCCTATAAGCTCCCAGGTAATGTACGGTTCTTCAAGGAGGATGCAGCTACTAGCAGTACCAGATCTTCAGTCTGACTGGGTATCAACCTCTCATACTTTGTAGTGAGGATGGTGGCCCCTGGTGAAACAGCAACAGGAAACAGTGAAAGTTAAGTACCTCTAGCTTATGTATAGGTCTCCAGGAGTGCCACAATTTTCAGTTAAGAAGCGTCAAGCTTCCTTCAATGCTTCAAAAGTGGGGAGAATTAATGCACTCTGTATGCATCTCTGTACAAGTTTTGCCAAACTAGCTCAAAGCTTCCCCATGTCTTTATCTCCTGTAAAACGCTCCCAAATTAACTCTGACAGCTATTTACTTAAAGAAATGAATGGCTTCTATTTGCCAAGCCAGTGAATTCATTTCACATACTCACATTAAAAGCAATGTAGCATATTTTTTTTACTAGCAGTAGACATAATTCAGGATATTAAAATAAAATGAACCATACTGCTGTTTGTTTATTTGGCTTGCAAGTTCACACTTAGTTCCTAGCAATTTCTCTGCATCTCTTGGTGGGTGCGCCAACCAAGCAAAATGATCGTAACGTCTTACAATTACAGAGTACCGTAAATTTAACTCACATCATCTACCACCCAGGTGTATGCACTGGAACAGAACCGCACACTCCCAGTACTCAACAACACTGAGAACTCGTTAGGTCTTAAATTTCCAGGGGTAAATGCAAGCCTCTGTTATTTTCACATCTCCTATTGCGACTCTGGCTTCAGTGATTTCACCTGCTGGTCATTCATTTCACCTGTGTTTAACTTAACCAGGGAGGGCACTCACACTTCCAAGACCCAGTGTCAAACACCAGCTAGTCAAAGGGTTCCACGAGGTGGGTTGACTTGCACACCTGGACACACTCCGCACAAAGAATGCAAAAGTACACCCACCCTGGGGTTCCATCTGCAAACTGCTTCCTAAGTCTAGCTTCGGAGCCTACAAGCAAACTCTGTTTCCTACACTTCTCTCGCCCTCAGTTCTGGATTCTACCCAAAGGGAGCTCCCTCTGGCTACAGTTTTTAAAATCTTGTCAGTTGTGAGCAGGGGCTGGAGTTGAGTTGGTCTGAGGAGGACCAGCAATTGGGAGGGGCGGGGGGAAGGAGGGCCTCTTCTTCAGCTGGAGTGAGGTGCCCTAGTCCAGATCAACTCAGAGCCGCGACCCCCGCGCACCCCCTCCCCCTGCTCCCCTGCAAACTGCTCGGCACACCCACTGCACCCTGGGGCACCAGGGACACACACACACACAATGATCTCTGGATGCTGCTAAGCGGCACAGGGAAGTTCTTGCAGCGGGCTGGGAGAAAGGGGCGGATAAGGATGGGAAGGCAGCACCCCCCGGAGGCCGACACCGACCACAGCTAAACCAAGCGGCTCAGGAAGTCAGGAGGGACCCGGGTGCGGGGCTCCGAGCCGCGGGGCGCGCTACTTACCCGGCCGGGCGGCGGCCACGGTCCCTAGCGGGTCCCGGGCGCAGCACAACTTGCTGTCTTTCCCCGGCGGGGACAGAGCGGCACGGAAGACTGTCCTTCTCGCCTTCGCCACTATCGCGACGGAGCTCGGGACGACTCTAGAGAGCCGGGGTGGAGGGTCAGGAGGACCCGCTCGGAGAGCCCGCCGGCTGTGGCCGTACGGCCCGGGAGCACCGTGGATGCCGGCTCCAGCTTTGGCAGGCGAGGCACGCGCCGCCTCCTCCCCGCCCTCCCCTTTCCGCTGTCCCCTCCCCTTGGCCCCGCCGCGCAGCCCTGGACGCGCGAGAGTGGGGGCGGCAGACAGACTGGGAAATCACGGAGAAAGTTGCTCGCCTTCTCCGCAGCTCCTCGGGGGGCGCCGAGGCCACACCCTACCCCTGTATTCTTTTCTGGGTCAAACACTGGGGTCTGGAGCTGCAGTGTTCCGCAGCCCTAAGGAGCCGAGGATGGGAAGTAGCCCCAGAGAGTGGGTCGAGTGATGTCTGTGAGCTTTAAGGGGCTCTTGAGAAGTGATCACTTCGGAGGACAGAGACCATGGAAGGGTGTGGACGTAGGGATGAGAAGGCTGGGCACACCGCTCGAGGCTGCTGGATTCAGTGGGGGACAAGCCAGAGAGAAGGCGGGCGACTCCTCTAGCCAGCCTCTCCCAACAGCTGCACACCTTTGGGAACCTCTTTCAAGACATTTCTCTTCCCGGTGTTCCCCACTCCCTTCCCTCCTCCTCTCCCCCTCTCCCTCTCCGCTTTCTTCCACCCTCCTTTCTCCCTCCCCCTCCTTCCCTTCCTCTTACTCTCCCCTGCGCCCCCTCCCCCTCCCCCCTCCCCGCCATGCTCCATCTTATAATCTACACAACCTTTGGGTTTCCTTTCTGAAAATCAGCTCCTTTTGATTTCTCCTCCGGACCAGCCCGGTTCAGACTTGACATCAGCATTTAACCCTTTGGAAGCCGCAGCCATGTTCTGTAGGTGACTGGCTGACCCCTGCCTCCACTGAGGACAGTTATTTTAGGAAGCTACCATCTGGGAACAGCAACTTTTGGAGTACATACTTTCCCAGATACAGTTTTTGTGATGTGCCTTTTCCAAGTAGTTGGAAGTAATAATTGGGTGAGAGTATATTTCATAATAAAATTTCAAGTGCACCATTTAATTAGGTAGCATCAGCTGGAGACAGGGGTTGTTTTCGTGATTGTTTGAAAGGTTTTAAGTGATTCCAAGCCTATCTTTTGTAAGAATACGATGTAGATAATGAGCCTCCCAGGAAAACAGTGCAATACACATTAAGCTTTCTCACAAAATTCCTGAGAAGGGCAAAGAATAGTTCCCAGGAGACATTCGGCAAAGTCTGGAGATGGTTTTGGTAACCACGACCCATGACTGGGAAGGTGTTACTGGCAGCTAGTCCATAAATGCCAGGGATCCTGCTCAATACAGTACACAGGGCACATCCAGAATAATCTAGCTTGAGATGTGCATAGGGCCAAGGCTGGGGAGCTGTGTTTCAAAATGTCACATGGTTCAAGCTCACCCATGAATCTCAGGCTTAGAGGTCGAGATTGAAGTTTTCTCTCGTTAATATATGTTTTAATTCTTCTTGTGCAGATCACCAGTTGCTGAGTGTGGGTGGTAGCCATATGACTGGTCTGACTTCCAGCTAAGTACCACCCACCTGGCTATAACACATCTCCCATCTAAGTAATGTGGAGGTAGCAGATATCAGTGTGGACAAAATTATACAGTGGCAACCAGACTCACCCACCCCCACACCCACACTCACACTCACCACACTACCTACTGGAGAACTTGTCTAGGATACTTTCTCAAGCTTAGAGGAACTTTACATAGTGACATGGATTGCCAGGGGGCATCAGTGGTGACTATGTCAAGTGCAGATTCTTTCATCACTGTGTGTCAGTACACCAGGCTTATGAACAGACAGCTTCACCTAATTCTCAACAAAAGGGAGGAAAAGGCTACGAAGGCAGTTACTATTTTATAGAGAAACAAGTGATTTACTTGAAAGCGTATGGTTAAAACATGGACTTATAAAAATTATCTCATTATTTGCATTCTATTAAGTGATGTAACTGTTATCAGAGAGGTTTGGCTAACATAAAAAGGATAAGAAATGAAGTCAAAAACCGTAAATCCCATCAGAACGAAATATTAATTATGTGTGAAATCATGTGGGCTGCCTTTCCTGGGACATTCAAATTTAAGTGAGAGAATTTAGACAAACAATGACCTGCCTGCCTGAGCCTGTTACCTTATTCATAAAACAGAGCTTGAAACCAATAACAGTTAATGTTTCTGAACTTCAAACTGTCAGCGTGATGATACTATGGGTTCTCTTGGAGAAGGGAGCAAGGAGTCATCTAACCTTGTTCAAGCTCATGACTTTACAGACGGGCTCAGAATCCTTCCAGGATCTCACTCAGAGCAGGGTCTAACATCACAACTCTTAGTTCCCTTTCCATTCCACCATATAATTATCTTCCCAAACTATAAAATCTTCCAAATTACCCTCCAGGTTCTGGCACAGATACTTTTACAAGAACATGCATTATAATATCTTTAAAAACCTTTGCATCAGATTTACATCTTCATAGGATCTTTAAGCTACTTCACAGCCAGGAGTTCCCACATAGCAGATGCTGCTGTGCCTCCCATTCCAGGTTCCAGAGCAAAGCAGAGCGTTTGGCTAGCCGTCCCAGTGCGTCTCGAGATGAGATCACGAAGGTAAAAGCATATGGCAGACTGCAGGCCTCTGTGACAACACTTTCAGGTGGCTGTTCACTATTAATTCCCGGTCCCATGTCCCTTGTTCAACAGATGCTTTTCTAGATCCCTTAAATTCAGCGGTGGCTGCTCGACTCCCTTTTAGCCCGTGATCTAAGGGGGACTTGGGAAAACCGTTCTTTGCTCGAGTAAGGATGCTCAGGAGAACATTTCTCCCCACTTCCTGGCTGTCTTTGCTCATGTTCTTAAAGCATGAAATGTTTGGCATTGCAATGACCTTGTGTTCGTGAGGATGGGGAAGGCCACAGAGACACGATCCAACGCCCTCACATTGTCAGCTGTTTACCTCCTCTGGAATTTTCTTTCTGCTGGAATCACGAACATGTGCCACCATGCCCAGATCCTCTTGAATATTTTTAAGTGAGCAATAAAGCATTAATATGGTTTAAGTCACCATAGTTGCGTTTTTTTTTTCCCTTCAACTAACTGTATCTCTTGTTGTGTGATATTTTGTTTGTGTTCTGACAAATAAAGCTTGCCTGGAGATCAGAGGGCAGAGCTAGCCACTAGTCAACCATAGAGACTGGTTGGTGGTGGCTCACGCCTTTAATCCCAGCACTCAGGAGGTGGAGACAGGAAGTGATAAGGTGGGGTGGAGATGGGATCTCAGCCTGTTTGTTCAGAGGATCCAGAGAGGTAGGAGGTCACTGGTGGCTGCTCCTCTGATCTTTCAGGTTTTTGCCCTGATAGCTGACTCCTGGTTTTTATTGATAAGATTAATTAGATTCACCCTTCAATCTCTAACTAAGCACTATAGATAATACATATGCTCAATGACCAGAAATACACACTAGTCAGCATGGTACTGTCATCCTTGGCATGGTGGGTAGAGGCTCAATAACTGAACGTGAGTGGAAGAATTAATGAATAAATCAACATCATGTGAGTATTATACTTGCTGTAGCACAAGTGGAACTTCCTTTTCACGTGTGCTACGTGATATAATGGTGAAACACAGGGAACAGAACCAAGCATCTCTGGCCATTAGGGAGAGAAAGAGGTGATTTCTTAGTTTATATCCATTGGAATAGCCATGTCTAGCAGGTTCAGCTTTGTTTCCTGGTCCTGTCTTTCCTGTCTGTCTTAAGGAAGCTGTAAAAGCTAAAACCTTTATTTCTAGCCTGCCCTTACGGTTGACCGGCCACGTCACAGTTCTGAGAAGTGGTGGTGGAACCATCACGTGTGCTCAGATTTGAGAGCATCTCAGCCACACAGAGCACCCATGTTTCGGTCATAAGGTGACAGACACGACGACAAAATTCAACTGGGTGGGGCTGAGGATGCAGAAGATGGAAAAGAGTCGGGATCCTCGATGCCTTCAGCAGAACACTGGACTGTATCTGACTCTCTGGAGGCCTTCAGTATGCTTTTCCTGGCTCAGTGGCTGTTAGTATGTACTTTGAGCCAAGCAGTTAGACAAAGCACTAATACAGAGAGAGGACACAGCAGAGTAGGGAGTCCATGAGTTCTCGAGCAAATGGTGAAGGAGCGTGGTAGATAGTCTGCAGCGTGTATTTGAAAGGCAAGCCTTTTCTAAAAAGCGTGGCAATAGAAACTGGAATAGTCTTAAAACAGTTTACGAAAGTCAGACCTTCCATCAACAGAAAGACTGAAGTTTTCAGTACTGTAGGATCATCTGATGCAAAGAGTTTCCCATGAAGTGCGGGCAGGAAGACTGCAGGTACCAAAGAAAACTGTAAGCGGCTGGACAACTTAGCTGTAGTTTCCAGTACTGAAGCAGTGTCCAAGATTTAAAATGCACACTTTGATGTTACATCTGCCCTTCCTTTCCCTCATTCTGAAATAATCCTTCTGCTTCCCAGATCCCATCCCGAGACTGATTGGAAAGGCTACTGCAAAGATAACTTATTCCATTTTATCCACCTTCTACGTAAGGAACAAGGTCCCTGACCCCTGTTTCAAGTCATGTGAGCAATACTAACATGCCATGCATACATACCCTTACCATAGTTATACCAACTGAGGGGTGCCCATTCCATTTCCTGTGGATTTCCTTTAGCGTTTTGTAGACTCAAAGTCACCTTCCCCCAGAGGAGTTGTATTTGTCTCGTTATGTATAATTTCTAAACATAGCAGTTTATATGACAATATTCCCTGGGAACTCTCGTGGAAATAATGCGTGTTCCGTTCTCTGACCTGCTCCCAGCGGAGCTGTCTGCATTATTCATTTCAAGTTTGCAAATTACCTTGGAAATGTAAAATGTCATGTAATTTCTATATATTATTCCTTTATACATTAAAGTAGCACACAAATTTTAAATCAATAATTTATTCATAAGTTGGAAATCATGAAGCATTAAATCACATTTAATATACTAAGGGCTTCACACTAAGCTGTCAAAGTGGGAAATGACCACAGTACATATTTTGGCTACGTGACCAGTCCATTGT